GAGTTCAGCGACATCATCAAGTGCCGCTCAGGTAAGCGGCTCCCCCGCGGCAGCGGCCTCGCCTCGCGGCGCGGGGCCGGGCAGAGCCTTTGTGCGAGTGAACAGCGGCGTTTGCCCCTTCGCGGCGTTAGCCGAGGGTGTTCGCTCGGGATCCGCCGCCCGCGTTGCAGCTGCCCCCGCGTTTTGTAAATACGCGTGTGCTTAAAGCGCCCTTGTGCAACGCGGTGTCGGCGGCCCCTTGTCTTCTACTCCTAAACTTTTAAAATGGCAACTGTGTCTGTTGTGCTGCGCTTTAGAAAGAGATGGCTCTCAGGGGGAACTTTCGCAGCGAGTTCGTCTCTTTCCTGATGGAAAGCAGTTGTCTAAAGTTACCAGCTCAAGTGTTTCCTTTGCCAAAACATTAGTGTAAGATTATTGCGGGGGGCGGGGGGGAGCCCTATGTTCTGTTGTATCTGTGAGCCTTTCTGGGGTATACAAGTCTTTCACCGAAGTTGATCCTGGCAGATGCCAGAGAGTTAAGGAGTGATTTTAGTAACGGGAAGGCTGATGCTTGTTAGGGGTGGAAGTCAGTTGCTCCAAGCTTAACAGAAATCTGTGCTGCCTCCAGAGGCAGAGTGTTCCACTAATCTTTAGCGTTAAAGACTGTTTATTTTTGTTATTTTCTCTGTTAAATTCAAAATGACCCCGTTGTCACAGGAAGACTTTAACATTTGGAATCGAACGTGGTTCTTCGCTCCACACCGCCCTTCCCTGGCCCTGCTGCTCCTTGTGTGGTGGTGACTTTCATATGCCGAATTACGGAGAGCAGTTGGGGTTTGGGACCGGGTCATGCTGATCTTGCTTTTGAGTCATTTTTTTTTTCCTAGAAATCACTGCTTCATAATGAATTAAGCCTTTGGTGGAGAGATGCTTCTCTTAATTTATGAAAATGTGGTTTATAAATAAAAGTGGGTGTGCCTTTAAACGTCTGTTTCTGTAGTGATTTCCCCCCTCAACTCCCCGTTATGATTCTATGGAGATAGTCAGCAATGCCAAGAGCTTGGTCTGTGGGGTAGTTTGCAGGCAGTTGTATGCGTACACACGAGTACTGCCCTTGCGCAGGCTGAGGGAGGATGAGTGCTGTTGGTGCAGCTTTGGACCTGGATATGTGATTTTTTGAAGTTAATTACTGCAGTAC